CCGCTCCCGGGCACGTGGGGCCCCGCGCTGCGGTGGGGCGCGGGTGCGAGCACCGGGGCACCGCCGGCACAGCCTTGGGGCAGGACGAGCTCAGCGAGCTCAGCGCGGAGGTGAGGGGCGGGTGAGCGCAGAGAGGGCGGGCGCGGCGGGAGGAGGCGCTGGTCCGACTGGCTCGGGTGCCGACTCAGCTGTGGGCAGGGAGAGGGCCGTGTACCTCCGGCCGTCCCACTGGGGCGCGGATCGGAGCCGCGGTGCACCGCATAAGTGGACAGTGTAAGCACGCTGCGGATCCGTGTTGAACTTGGTCTCCCCTGGAGCGTAATCTCGGTGAGTGAGGACGAATACCCTGTTAGGTCGCATATTGGGTAACTCAGTGTGTTAGTGGGTGAGTGCGCGCGCCCTGAGGAGTAAGAAGTCGAACTTGCGGAACTTGTCTGTGTGGGCGCCCCTGGGCGTGAGGCCGCGGTCTGAGATCTAAGAGCTCCAGGAGACCTGCTGCGCTCCTATCACCGCCCCCACCCCCTCACTGTAGGTGGCCCTCCTCCTGTCCTGGGCGACGGTAAGACTGGAAAGGAGCGAAGGACAGTTAAGACTTTAATCTGCTGGGAGACTTTTAATCTGGCAGGTGCTACTGTGGGGAGGGTCAGTCAAGAGAAAGGCAGGGTGTCCCCCACACCGTGCTGCCATGCCCCCTAGGAGGCAGGCCCAAGTGCCAGGCCCTGCTGAGAACCAACACTGCAAGTTTGGGATTTATGGAGCCAGGTGACTGCCATCCCTCTCAGCATGGCATCCCCAGTTTGCCTGTGTCCACAGCCTTGTTGGGGATCTAAGCTAAAATAATGAGCTTTTGCGGGTCAGGCTGTGGCCCCAGGGAAGTCTCAGTTATCTGTGGGTAGGAGTGGGAAAAAGGAGATTCTCGGGCAGCCAGCCTGTGAAAGGAGGCCGGCACCTGCAAGTGAGAGGAAGACCTGGCACAGAAGCTTGTCACTCCATCTTCTCTCCCTGCTCCCTTCGGCTGACCAGAGGTACAGAGTAGGAGCTGGGATATGCGTGGGGGCACAGCCAGCAACCTTCAGAAATGGCTGCTGAGCTCAACGTGCAGAATAAGCCTGTGGCCTCTCCATTCTTGTCCTCCTCTTGCCTAGGATGTACAGGGCTCTGAGGCTTCCAGATCCCCCGAGGACCACCTAGGAGAGTGTGAAGGCATCCCCCAAGAGCCAGTGAGTGGCCCGTGAGAGCTTAGATTTTTGTGACTTTAAATTTTAGGATATTGTGTCTCTCTAGGTATTAGTTTGGAGAATGATGATCTTTGCCTCTTCAAATACAGATTGCTTATCAGCATTCTCATAGAGGTCAGGAAAAGGTTTGTGTGTGTGTGTGTGTGTGTGTGTGAGAGAGAGAGAGACAGAGACAGAGACAGAGACAGAGACAGAGACAGAAACAGAGAAAGAGACAGAGTGTTTTGCTGGGAATGGAACCCAAGGCATATCCTCTACCACTGAGCCATACTCCCAACCCAGTTAAGACAGGGTTTTGTGAGCTAAGTGCAATGCACAGGGAGGTGTAATATTCCATAGATTTGAATGCTCTTTGAAGACTCTAATAGGACACACATGCAGTAGTGAAGGATTGTGCAAGCAAACCTGTCTTTGGGACTTTTCTGTGATCCTGTTACCCAGCTGCTGCTAAGAGGATACCTGCCCAGGCCTCTTGCTGATCTGGGGAGGGGAGGAGGAGGTGCTCCTGATGAAATCTTCCTTCTCCCCTACCTGCCTCCTCAAGGCCTGTCTGGTGCACCCTTCAGCCTACAACTTCCTCTGAGGCTGCTCTTGGATCCTCAGGCCTGGACTCTCCCTGATGTAGAAAAGCTGGCTGTGGAGCCCTCCTTGGCCTCTATACCCCCCTTAGAGAAAGGCCAGTTCAGAATGAGATCAAGCCATCCCTGCTTTCTTACTCTGTCCCTGACACCTGGCACAGGTTGGTCACAGAGCAGGTGGCAGGGAGTGTTTGATAAATGAATGTCAGATGGAGTGGCCTTGCTTCGCGGAAAGCAATAGAGGGTTTTGAGCAGAGGACTGCTTCCACTGCCCTGTCACCCAACCTCCAAAGCCTAAATCATTCTCGGCCTAGAGTGAGTAGCAGGAGTCTCTGATGGGAGAGTGAGCACCCTGGTCTCTGCTGGGCAGCTACTAGTTCTCCACTCTGGTACCCTGTCAGTTGTCCTTGCAGCTCCCGAAGGAGAGGCCGAGGCACTAAGGGCCTCCTTCAGACTTGTACTGATGTGGATTCCTGGTGATTACCCAGCCTTCCTGTCCAGCTTGTAGACAGAGGACTCTTCCCATGGCTGCACCGTGGGCGCGGAAGGACACACTCCACCTCATAGGGCCAAGGGACGGCTGTTCTTATCACATCTTTATATGTATGGTCTCCTCCCTTGTCTCCCTCCCTTCAGACTCCCCAATCCTAGCCACTTTCCATGTGATACCATCTTCGTAAAGGTCAGTGTTGACTGTGTCCTTCTCCTCTTAAGCCTTAATAGAGGCCAAGCTCCTCAGCCTGGCCCCCACACATTCCATGCTCCTAACCTCCCATGCCAGCCACACATGACCTCCTAAAGGCAGCATTCACACCCCCTGAGTCTTGGCACTGGCTTCTCTTTCTGCCTTCAGTGCCCTCCCACCTCTTTGTTCACCTAACAAGCCCCTAGTCATCTACCAAGTCCCAGCTCCTCTGGGAAGCACTGTCGCCACCTGCCTCAGGCTTGGAGTTGCTGTGGGCTTCCCTTGGTTGTAGCTTAATCACTCATATAGACTCAATCCATGCCTGTGAAGTTGGGCACAGAAGAGCATTGGCGATTGTCTGCTGAGACTTCATAGCTTCTAGGAATGTGACTTAAGGCTGTATTAATGCCAAGTGCAGACTCCTGTGGCTCTGAGAATCCCAAACCAGAAGGAATCAGAAGCATGAGTGGCAGAATGAAAGAAGTCAGTACTCACTCCCAGAACCTGACCCTCTTGGAACTGGATGCTGAGGATCAGTGAACTTGAAGGACTGAGAGGAAGATACAGTAATCTCAGCTTTGCAGACTTGCACATCTCCTGTTCTTTGCTTTTGTCCCCTTTTGCATGTGGCTCCTCCCATTTTTCTCTTGCCTCCGAAGCCAGACCCTCTGTGCACCTCTCAAATTGAATCACAGCTTCCCTTCCAGCAGTCTCCTTGACTGCTCAGACTGTGACATCTGCCCCTCTGCTGGGAACACTTGGGAGGGCCCCCTGCTGAGGATTGTGAGCTCCTGGAATTTAGTGTCTCCTTTTTGATGGACATATGCAGCCAACACATCAGGACAATGTATGATTTGCTAATACCATGGAGTGCCCACTCGCCTCTTTGTCTTACTCATTCCTCATGAGCTGTCCTATGGAGTGGTGAAATACCCAAGGAACAGAGAAGGATCTGACTTGACCAAGACTGCACAGCCTAGGAGGTTCTAACATGTAACATAAACCCAGATTTCTTTTGCCTGTCTGGCTGGAGGCATTCCCATGTGATAGTTGGGGTGGAGACCAGGGCACAATGGTTCTGAGCCTGTTTAATTCAGTAGCTATCTCTGTAGCCCTGTGCTAGGCTCAGCTGGGGTGCAGTGGGAGGGGTGGTTTGAAGTTCTGCCTTGGATAAATAAGGCAGGTGTTTTCAGTTTCCTGGTCCGTAAACCAGGCTAATCTGAGACCCACCCAGTCAGATGCTCTGACTTCAGCCTCAGTGAATATCCCTCACCACCAGGATCATAGGGCCCAAGAGGGAAACGTTGAGGAAAGGGGGAGAGAGCCTTGAGTGTCTCTTGCAGGGGAAGCATCATGCCAATGTCCAATAGCAGCTGAGGGGACATCTGAGGTCACGCCTGAGCTGTTCCCCAGGCCAGCAATCAAGCTCTTGGTACACATATCAGGCAAGGCTGGGGGACTTGTTGGTCTTCAGGCCTTGCAGGATGTTTGGGTGAGGACAGGGGGTGACTTCTAAGCTCCTAGTCCTAAGCAGCCCACCTGCTCTGTACTGCTGTCAGGCCACAGGGATGAGTAGCAGCTCATGTTGCTTTTGCTCTGGTTTTTCCTTGGTCTCCTGCTCCTTTCTCTCCAACCACCTGACTCCCACCCATTTTCCAAAATGCAAGTCAGCAACTACACACAAGGAGGGTAAGCATTACGTATTGCAAGCGTGTACTAATAAGAATAATAAAAAATAGTAAAAAGAAACATGTAAAATGACCAGACGTAGTAGTATGTGATTATAGTCCCAGTTATTGGGAGTTTGAAACAGGAAGATTAATTAAGCTGAAGAGTTTGAGACTAACCTGGGCAATGTAGCAAAATCCCACCTCAAAACAAACACGAACAAAAACAGAAAAGAGTTATGAAAAACCCATATGATAAAACTATAAAAACTTACTAAAATAAAAGAAGAGATAAGCCCTATTCCCCAGTGAAAAGGCCAAATTTCTAAAAAGTGCAATAATTTCTGCAATCAGCCAATAAAAATAAATCACTTATGATCACAATTCTGGTTTTCAAAAAACTTAAATGTATTGATTTTAAATCACATTTTAAAGGGAAATGATGAAGGTCAGGCATGGTGGCACAGCCCTGTAATCCCAGCAGTCCTGAAGGTTGAGGCAGGAAGATCACCTAGAGTTTGAGGCCGCCCTGGGCTACATAGTGAGTTCAAAGCCAGCCTGAACTGCATAGTGAGACCCTGTCTCAAAAAACCAAAACCAAAAAAAAAAAAAAAGAAAAGCTCTTTCTACTAGCTAGCAAGCCATTTTCTAGAATTAAAGGCATTAAGCTAGCGTGGTACCAGTGTAATAAGACTACAGGAGTTGCAAATGGGAAAGGGATCAAGAGATAGAGGAAGGCAAAGGAGGAGAGGAAGGGGAAGTAAAAAGAATTAAGATACGTTGTGTATGTGCACCAACTCCCCGTGAAGACTGGAGTCATTATGTACTGCAAATGTGTATTAATAAAAAGAAATGTTAAACAGACAAACAGAAAAACCCAAAATGCTCTAGGAAGCCTTCCCTAGCTACCCATTCATCCCTGCTGGGGACTTCCATGGTGTCCTTCAGGTCTGATCACCCTGAGGTGTCATTGCCTGTTTCTGGGAGTGCCTTCTCCACCTTGAGAGTGACCTCCTTGGAATCAGGAAGGGTCTGACCTCAGAGTCCCGGCACCCCACACAAGGACAGGCATGGAAATGGCCACCTCTGGGAAGAGTGAGGAGGGATGCAAGGTAAAGGGCTTCTGGCTTCTACTGGGAGTCCATAGACTGCCTTCTCCCTGAGGATGGCCCTCAGTATGAGACACTTAATCTGTGGTCAGTTGCTGTGGCCTTGCTACCTATAGCCCTGACCATAATTTCTGAGGGGTTTCCTGTCCCTTTTTGTCTTCCTGGGATAACCCCATTCTTCCTGCCTTCCCCATATGCTCATTTCTTATTATGTCGTAAAATAAGTCTAAATCAGGTTGTGGTATACCTTAACGGTAGAGTGCTTGCTTCGAATGCAAGAGGCCCTGCATTTGATCCCCAGCATGGTTAAAAAAAAAAAAACTGAAAATCATCTCATAAAACTATCTCAACAACCTTGTGGGACAGGTTCCATTGGTCTATCAAGAAATTGAGATTTAGACTTTGGAATTGAGAGTCTTGTCTAGTTCCTGCTGCTGGGAATGGCAGAACTAGGATTTCTCTGTTTCCCCTCATAACATCCTCCCCTGGTAGAGACAGGCAGCAGGGGTCTCCAGGATGGTGACAGGACACTCTCCCCTGCCAGGCTGGACTGGGCCACCAGCCAAGCGGGCAGCACATTCCAGAACCACTCTAGTGGAGGAGCTGGAATGTTGTCAAACTGCCCTGAAATTCCTAAGCCAGCTTGGGAACTGCTCTGGCTCCTCCTCCTGGCTTTGGGTTTAGTAGCCTGAGGATACACAGAAAAAGACCCATATTGGTTGTTTACATGCTAGGTCTGATTCTGCCCTTGACTCTCTTGGTGATCTTGGTGAGACCTTGAGCTAACTACCCTTTTCTGGCCTTAGTTTTTCTACTTGAGAAATGGGTATAATAACTATCCCCACCACCTAACACTGGGGAAGTACTAAGAAGAGTAAATGCTAGGCTCTGCCTGCCAGGTTCTCCTCTGCTGGACACCTAACCAGACAAGCATGTCAGGGAGCTTCCTGGGGACAGAGTCTGGGCCTTGCAGGGTGGGGCACAGCTTCTGAAGTCAGATCAGAGCTGTGTGCCATTTGCCAGCTGTATGACCCTGGAGAGGTTATTTAGCCTTTCTGAGTCTCAAGATTGAATGGGAAGAGGTGTATGAAATTGGCACAGAGAAAGCACTCCACTCTTGTCATGATACAAGATAAGGGAAACTGCTGGACATGGTAGCACATGTCAGCACTCTGAAGATAATCTCAGCACTCTGAAGGCTGAGGCAGGAGGATTGCTGTGAATTTGAGGCCACTCTGGGCTACATAGTGAGTTCAAGACCAGCTTGAAGTACATAGTGAGACTCCATTTAAAAATAAGTAAATAAAATAATAAATATATAAATAAGAGAAACTGTTCCTGAGCAAGATATGACCATGTGGCTGCTTGTGCAGTGCCGAGATGGGAGCATGAAGGTGGAAGTGTGTTTCCCGGGGCGGTGGAAGAGACCAGGTCAGCTAGGCCCTTGGGTGCCAGGCTAAAGAGCTTGGATATTAGCCTGAGGACCCCAGGGAGCCATGGAAGGATTTGAAGCTCCCTAGAGTGTGATCAGATTTAGGTTTTAAAGAACTACATGACCACAGTGTGCAGGTTAGACAGGTGTGTTGGGGCAGAGTAGCCGTGGGGCCGTGGTCTGGAGAAGTGCAGGCCTGCAGCTGGGGAACTTTGCTAGTAGCTCTGGGGGGACTTGGTGAGTGATGTGCTCTCGGTGGACAGGATGAGGGAGAGGGTTTGCATCCTGGAAGGCTGGTGGAGATCTTACTCAGAAAAGGGAAGATGAACTTGAGAAAGTGGCGTCTCCCTCCTCACCTGAAGCGGTGAGACACTGGAGAGTGCCTGGGTGGAGCGGGGTGAGAAGGTGGTGCTTTTCACCTTGTCACTATACTGTAGAGTAGACAGACAGGTAGCAAACAGGCTTCTGGCCCATGTCAGCCTGAGGCAGCTGGGCAAGGTGCAACAAGTAAACAATGGCCAGAAGCACTTCCTAGGCCCCATCCGGGCCCTGTTCCTGCATGCCTCCACCCACTTGCACTTGGGGACCCAGCCTCAGCTGTCCCAGGTCCCACTCCACTGTTCTGAGGAAATGAAAATGAGAAAAGATCATTCCAGAAGGGGACTTTCTTTTTCCCATGCTGTGCCTGAGGTCCTAGCAGGCTGGGACCTGCCATGCAGAGGGTCCCTTTCCCAGTCAGCCATCCCCTCCCTGAAGCCCTGTGTGTGATGTATGGAAGGGACTCACAGGTGAGACAAAAGCCAGGGCCAGAATAAAGAAGGCTTGGTTCTAATTCTGCCTCTGTCCTGGGGTTCCTGTGAGGCCTTGGCCTCAGTTTCCTCCTCCGTTAAGTGAGGGTTTGGCACAGATGATTTCCAAAGGCTGTTTCGGACCTGACTGTCTAGACCAGTGACAGCGAACTGTTTTAGAGCTTTCAATGATCTGAATAGCCCTCTGCAGCCCATGTCAGCCTGAGGCACAGGTTCTCCATCACAGGTTCTCCACCATTGCTCTAGATGATGCCGGTGTGTGCTGCGTGTGACCCTGAGTGTGCTGGGTGTGTATGTGCCTCTGTGTATTCAGGTGTGGCATGCATGTGTTTATACCACTATGGCAGAATACCAATGCCCAGGGGTGGAAGTCAGGGAGGAGGGGGGCTCTGGATAGAGAGCTGGCTTGGGCAGAGTTGTGTCAGCAGAAGTACTATAGAGTATGTGCTGCGCATGGAGGATATTGACAAGTTTCCTGCTGTGGGGCAGAACCAGGACTTTGGGAGGGAACACTGGAGGCCAGCTCTACCCCGCAGGATATGGGGGAGATCTTCCCTTACAGACCCCCCTCCTCTGAAGGGGGATGCCTGGGAAGGAGCTGGGAGCACCTCATCCCTGGAGCGTGTGAGCTGCGGGTAGACATCAGGGCAGGGGTGCAACTGTGCAGAGGGCACTCTGACCAGGACAAGCACGTAAGGTTGCCTCTCTGCCCTTTTGGGGCCAAAAGAAAAGGCATCCCTGGGAGGGCTCGGCCTGGCTGACCTCCTGCACCCAGGGGCCAGCCAGGCCAGCATCTCCACCTCCCTGTGTTTGCAGGAGCCCCCTTCGGCAGCTACTAGCCCTGAAAAATGCTGGAGTCTGGGTGTGGCCCCAGGCCAGGGAACCTGTTTTTCCTGTTTCCCTGCAGAGCTCCCAGTCCAGGCGCGCATTCATGAGTGAGGAACCTGAGCCTGTGTTGAGCATCCCGACCCAGAGAGCAGGGGCTTGTCAGGTACAGGTGTGTGGGGTGGGCCGGGCCCACAGGCTGGGAGGCTGGGCAGGTTCCTTTGGGTTAGTATGGGGGAATTCTAAGGCAGTGCCTTTTCCTGCTCCTTTATCCCAGGCCATAAGGAATTAGGACTTTGATGCCAGACAGCCCTGGGTGTCCTGCCTGTTTTGTCCAATTCTTGGCAGTTTGACCTTGAACAAATAGTTTCATTAACCTCTTCAGGCGGGGGATGCCTGAAGCTGCTCGACCCAGACCTGGCATCTGAACAGGAAGGGTAAGAGGGACCCTAAAATGGGAAACATTTGATCAGATAGGAGCCAGAGATGGGCCGATAAAAGCACTTGGCTGGCCTCAGACAGCTGACCCTCCTCTGGAATTTTGAATACCTGATTCCTTTGGCATGTCCCTGAGCCATCTGGGCTTCTGCAGCTGTCGAGGGAGAAACAGTCCTGGCACCCATCTGGGTCAGGAGAAGGCCCCAGGTGAGCTGGGCTCCCAGAAGGGCTGGGCTGATGCATGGCCATCCAGAGTCAGCAGCTGAGAAATCTCTAAGTACCATTGTCCTCCTATAGGCTCTCCAGTGAGTGAGGGAGAGGAGAGGTACCTTCAGCTCCTCTGGGCTCCCACAGCTTCTTGTGTTGGTTTTATTCATTCACTCATTCATCATTTATTCATTCATTTTCTTTTTCCTGCATTCACTGCAGTGGGACAGGCATCTTGCTGGGTGATAGGGACAGAGAAAAGCATTTGAGGGAGCCAGTCCTCAAGGAACACAGGACAAAATACCAATAAGGCCTAAGGATAGCTGGAAGGGCCCTGTGATAAGTGCCTTTGAGAAGAGCCTGGAGGGGTGGGTGGAGTGGAGTGCTGTGTGGGTGGCTTCAGGGAAGGCTTTCCAGACTGAAAGCCCAGCAGGAACAAAGGCAGGGAAGCCCTGGACCTTCAAAGGGCTCATATCTCCTAGACTGGGAGCTTCTGGAGTGGGGTCAATGAGTAGCGAGAGGGGCTAGTGACAAAGTCGGGAAGAGCAGCCTCCACAGAGCCCAGGGTGAGGTCCAAGGTCAGGAGAGGGAGAGGAGAGGCCTGAGGGAGAAGATAGAGGACTGGGCTGTCCTCCTAAAGTAGATGCTGGGGGCTTAGGAAGAGGACTCACAGGTTGGTAAGCCAGCCAGTGTAGGGAAGGGAGGGCAGACTCAGTCTGGACCAGGGCCACAGTGATGGAGTCCCCAGCTGGCCTGGTAGGGACAGGCCAGGATGTCTTAACACAGGTGGACAGAGCACCTCCCTCAGTCCACAATGAGGCAAGGAAGTCTCCACCCTCTTCTCAGTGTCAGAGATTCCACTGTTAGTGACCAGCAAGAAACTGTGCAGGGACATGACCCACCCCTGAGGAGAGCAGCCAGCTCAGCAGTGGGGCAGGAGCAGAGCAGCAGTGTGGGGTGACAGTGAGTGCCTGCAGCATGAAGGAAGGGCCCACCCTGTCCCCACTGAGGCATAGTTTCCCCTGAGGGAAGTTTGGTGGTGCGGTTCTCCAGGGGTGGGGGATTTTACCCATGAGAAATCTGAGACTCAGGAGGGTTGTCCCATCTGGACTGCTGGTGTGATTTCCAGGCTGCCTCCTGGGGACTGTGGGACACATATGTGCCCTTTAGGGCATCATCTTTGTCCCCTGCCTCCCACCTGAGAGAGTTCTTATGGGTCACTCTCTCAGTGACTGCCCTCCAAGCATTTACTGTCTGCTGGTTGGTCAGACCCCATGGGGTGACATATGCTCACTAGGGACAAGGTAGAGGACCCTTATTAAATAGTATACATAGAGAAACTGGGTAGGTGAGGGAAGAATTTAAATTTGCCCCATAAAATAAGCTACCTCTACTCCCTACCCTCATTTGCACTCCAGACTTCCCTAGAGTCTTCAGGAAGGTCACTGTCCTATCTGGTAACCTCACAGGCTGGAGGGACTGCTAAGTGCAGTTGTAGGAAGTGACAGTATAGGAATACCTTAAATAAATAAATAAATCCAAAAGAAAGAATGAAGGAAGAGGGAGACCCTGGGAAATTCTTCAGCCTCCCCACATTTTGGCCCGTGAAAGCTAAAGGAAGAACATTGCGGTTCCCCCAAAAGGTCTGAGCTGCCCTGGCTAGGAAGGCCTCACCAGGCGAGGGCACTGGTGTGTGGTGGAGAGGGCCAGCCTCAAAGGCCCTTCCCCAGGAATCCAAAATTATACCCCTCTGTGACCCCCAGATCCTCTGATTTCAGAACTCAAAGCCTGGCTCTCAAGTTCTGTGGTCCTGAGGGTCTAGAGCAAGGTCAGCACTATATTTAAAGGTCAGAGAATTAGTAATTTAGGAGTCACAGAATTCACAACGGCTTAGCTTCTTAAACAAATACGTATTGTATTCCAGTAAAGCTTTACTTATAAAAAATAGCTGGGTGGGATGGATTTGGCCCCTGTTCTAAAGTTTTGGATTCTAATTACATATTATATATCATCATATATTATATGATTCTGATATAATAGAATTACATATGATTATGCTATTCATGGGCCCCGTGCAATCTTGTTCCTTGCCTTGAGGTTTTGAGTCCAGGGAGAGATGGCAACAAAAGCCCTGAATGTGGTTAGGAGAATCTGTGGGCATTTGAAGGCTTTGGTCAGGTGGGTGTCAGACCTCCCTGCTGAGCTCTAGCCATGACCTCCTGGCTGTCCCTCTTGCTCCCTTCCCTGCAGGGTGATGGCTGTGGACCTGGGCCCCTGGAATGATACCATCAATGATACCTGGGATGGGGATGAGCTAGGCTACAAGTGCCGCTTCAATGAGGACTTCAAGTATGTGCTGCTGCCAGTGTCCTATGGTGTGGTGTGTGTGCTTGGGCTGTGTTTGAACGTCGTGGCACTCTACATCTTCCTGTGCCGCCTCAAGAGCTGGAATGCCTCCACCACGTACATGTTCCACCTGGCTGTGTCTGATGCGCTGTATGCAGCCTCCCTGCCACTGCTGGTTTATTACTATGCCCATGGTGACCACTGGCCCTTCAGTACGGTGCTCTGCAAGCTGGTGCGCTTCCTCTTCTACACCAACCTCTACTGCAGCATCCTCTTCCTCACCTGTATCAGCGTGCACCGATGCCTGGGCGTCCTGCGCCCTCTGCGATCCCTGCGCTGGGGCCGGGCCCGCTATGCGCGCCGGGTGGCAGTGGCCATTTGGGTGCTGGTGCTGGCCTGCCAGGCACCTGTGCTCTACTTTGTCACCACCAGTGTGCGTGGGGCCCGGATCACCTGCCATGACACTTCAGCACCTGAACTCTTCAGCCACTTTGTGGCCTACAGCTCCATCATGCTGGGCCTGCTCTTTGCAGTGCCCTTTGCCATCATCCTGGTCTGTTACGTGCTCATGGCACGGCGGCTGCTCAAGCCAGCTTATGGGACCACAGGAGGGCTGCCGCGGGCCAAGCGCAAGTCGGTGCGCACAATCGCCCTGGTGCTGGCTGTTTTCGCCCTCTGCTTCCTGCCTTTCCATGTCACCCGCACCCTCTACTACTCCTTCCGCTCACTTGATCTCAGCTGCCACACTCTCAATGCCATCAACATGGCATACAAGATCACACGACCACTGGCCAGTGCCAATAGTTGCCTTGACCCCGTCCTCTATTTCCTGGCTGGCCAGAAGCTTGTCCGCTTTGCCCGAGATGCCAAGTCACCCACAGACCCCACCCCTACCACCCCGGCTCGCCGCAGGCTGGGCCTCCACAGGTCCGACAGAACTGGCGCCCAGAGGAGAGATGTGCCAGCCAGCAGTGAGGACTCTCAGCAGACAGAGCCCACGGTGGCCAGAAGCGAGAACACTAAGGACATCCGGCTCTAGGACTTGAGCCCCTTGGGCTTCTGCAAGTTTATATGGAGTAGCTGTAGGGACCATGGCTCATTCAAATGGAACAGTGTTCCCAGATATGGACCATCAGTGACTTTGTCATTGTCAGAGGCTGAGGATATTCCCCTGTGGTCCAGAAAGGCACCCGTCTCCAGATCCCCCAGTCATCACTTGTATGAGTGAATGGAGAATAAGGTTTTGAGAAAGGGAAGTGTTCAGGGCCTGTGCCACCTGACCCCCGTGCAGATAGCTGGCTGTTCCTGTCATGGTATCTCTGCTGGGGTCCAGCCTAATGCAGGCGCAGAGAGGAAGATGCCTTACCAAGGCCACACAGCAGCGTCTGGGCCTGAGCTAGCCGGAGTAGGGGGCAGAGTCACAGGTTGACCAGAGAGGACCCTGGTAAGGTGTCAGAGCTGAGTTCCCACAGAGATCTGGGATGAGACTGAGTGACACAGTGGACTCAGCTTGGAGAAGTACCCCCAGCCCAAGAGATGAACATCTGGGGCTGATGTCATATGCCTATCTGGAGGTGCCCCTGGGTTGGGACCCAGTTTGAGACTGTAACATACTAAAGGTTGTGCTGCTTGTGGAGCTGTGCTGTGTTGTATGGTCAGAGGGTGGGGGCACGGCCTAGGAAGCTTTCCACAGCTCCACAAAGGCCTTTCTCCAACCCGTTCTCTTCTGCCGCCTGTCTTCTCACTAGGCGCTTTGTGGGGGGGCAGGGAGAGTCATATTAGGAATCCTCTCCAGATCCTGGGTATGTCCCCACTTTAAAGTCAGTTGGCTTCTGTCCCGTTTCTGTGTGAGATAGAGAAGACTCAGGCAGAGTCTCAGTCCTTAGGGTTCTCCAGTTTGGGTGACAACCAGTCACATGCTGGTAAATGTTAACCTGGACCTTCAGTGGAGTTGAAGAACCCCTTATCTGTAGCATTCCCTATTGCCATTCCTGCCATGGCCAGTTTCAGATTGTCAGTGCAATGCCATCTCTTTGAAAAATTCCTGAAAATTTAACAACTGGCTCTTGCAAGCAGGCACACATTGCTACAGTGTACCGCTGGGTCATGCCAAATGCTTTGGGCTATGGCTAGGGGCCCAGGGAAGTCTTCCTGGACTGGGCAGTCCTGCGCTGGGGCTTCTGAGAAAGGCAGCTCATGAGAGCACCCAGCGCAGGACACATTCTGAGCAAGGGCAGCCAGCAGGTATGCAGAGACAACAGCAGGCTGGGCAGCTGCCCAGGCTCAATCCAGAGATGAGGCTTCACCCTTGCCCTGGCCATGAGGCTTCCTTTGTATGAGGTACATGTGAGTGAGACTTACTCCTCTCTCCACCCAGGCCTAGGCCTTCTGGGAAAATCTCAACTTTTGGGTGTGATGATTGGTATTCCAGCTGGGTCAGGGGTTAGCATGGGAGAAGTGGTCTTACCTGTGGTCAGTGTTGGATCTTGGCCAGTACTGCTCTGAGCCAGTTTGTAGAGCTCAGCTGGATAGGGCTCAGCCCTGGCCTTCAGGCAGGGATGGGATGAAGCTGACTGGCTTCGCTTTTGACCTCAAGGACAAGAACTCCTCTCCCTCTGGGTGAGCCCTTGCCCTGTGGGCCCACTTGGCTGTAGAGAAGGTCTATCTTTGCCCACTTTACCTCTTCTACCTGTCTCCTATGGCAGGTCAACCCTTCCCACTTTACCTTATCAAAAGTGGGGCGTCCATCCCCAGCAGTTGCTCTGTTTACATTTTGTGGTGGTTGTTTTGAAACAGGGTTTTACTATATTACCCAGGCTGGCCTCGAACTCCTGGGCTCATGTAATTCTCCTGTCCCAGCCTCCTAAGTCACTGGGACTACTAGTGCATGGTTGCTTTATATAGAGCCTAGTTCCACAACTCCCTCAGATGATGGGGACTTATCATAGGCCATTATGCAGATGATTATTCTGCATTATGTAATTCTGGGTGACCTGTCCAGAATAGTGTCAGATGCTCACCTCCCATATTCTACGTTCTATGTTCTGTTAATATAGCTGGAGTCCCTCTGAGCTTTCTTGGCAATCTCCTCTTACACGATGTCCTGGGTCTTTCCTGCAGGCCTGAACCTGTCTCTCTCCTACTAGTTGCTGCTCAGGGAGCCTCTTCCCAGGTGATAAGTTATGATGGCTAGAAGTGTAAAAGCTGGGCTCTGACCCTCTCATCCTGCTGGGACCTGGAGGCAGGGAGCTATGTCATGACTTTGTGTCCTTTAGTGTACTTCTGTGGCTGGGGAGTGGGCTATGGTCACCACAGGTGGAGTTCCTTAGTCCCTATTCCTGTCATGTCCTGCCCCACTACCCCTCCCACAGCTGCCCTACAGACCCTGAGAATCCAGTGCTGCAGTAGATGGGGACAACAGCATGGCCTAAGCCAGGACGCTTTCCTTGATCCATTGCTTACAGATTTCCAAGGACAGAGGACATAGGGGATAGGAAGGCTTACTTGCTACCTAGGCCTCTGGCAGGTATGGGTGGAGGTGGGGAATGGAGACCCCAAGGGAACCAGGAACAGGCCCAAGGTCCCACCTCTGGACCCTGGTTGGAATGCCTGACTCCTCAGTGTGGACATCTGGCCTTGGTGCTCAGTACCCAGGCCACTTGCCTGGAGGGTTAAGCTCCCGACCTTGCCGCCTTGTGCTATTTTCAGCTCAAGTAAGACCAAGATTTTCCACTCCTGGCCCTAGACCATTGTCTGACGTGGGGTGACCTGCCCGTCCTCAAAATATCTTCTATTGCCCTCTGGACCTCCCTGCCCCCTTCCCACCTCCTCACTCTGACATCACTTCCTAAGGTTGTTGACTCCTGAAGGCCACTGTGAAAGGGCACGAGTCATCCAGCCACCAGCCAGTGACAGTACCCCAGGGATTACCCAGCCCAGCTGCAAGGCCAGAGGGTCGGGGCCTCATCCAAGTTACTCAGCTGGTCACTGTGGTGCCCGGACATGAGCACAGGCCCAAGCTGCTTCTGCTGCTTCCACCCCCTCCAGTGCAAGTCAGAGCCTTTGCGGGAACCCTGTGTCACCTGCACTGCCCAGGCCCCTCCCCTCAAGCCATGGAGCTGAGGCCAGGGACACAGTGCAGATTGGGAGGAAGGTGAGGAGAGAGTCAAGTGGTGGGTGAATAAGGCTTTCCAGCCTCTGCAGGAGCTGTCGTCTGAGAGCTCCAGGTGACAGAGCATGGCCCCTGGCACGTCAGCTCTCTCCTGGGCAGCAGAGGTCCCCAAGGCGAAGAAAAACGGGAGAACTCCAGAGGATACACACACCCTGGCCCTGGACAACATACTCTTCACACAGAGTTGCTCCCGGTCAGACCACCACAGCTGTCCCTCTGGTACCCTTGTCATGAAGATTTGGCACATGGAGGATCGGGCACATGGGGGAGGGGACTCACATACTGATCCATGTCCCACGAACCATGCAGGACTCTGACATATGTGAGTTGTTTATCCTCCTCATTTGGTGGCTGAGGACACAGGAGAGGACATTGAGGAGGACAGGATTGATGACCCAGGTGACACAAGCTGCAGGTGGGAGAGCAGAGAGGAGTCCAGGCCCCCTGGTGTTTGATGAATTCCCTTTGCAGTGATCCACACCGTTCACCACCCCTGCACAGCAAGAGGCTCTGCAAGGGACCCTTCCCACAGCTCGGGACCAGAGCAGCATTGTGGTGAGGACAGGTTGGGAGCACAGATCCTGCCCTGAGACCACCTTGGTTTGAAGGTCACCTCCACTTTTGCAGCCATGTGGTTACTCAGTCTTGCAGCACCTCAGTTTTCTCATTTGATGAAATGCTGCCTCCCACAGAGGGCACTGGGAGGCTCACTTAATGCAC